CCGGGGAAGCAAGCGCGCCGGGTGGGGACCCCCGGCCCTGGGGCGCGCGTCCGCGTCCTGGCGATGCTGAGCGCGGTCTGCCGCTCGCTAGGTCCTTCCCGTCGGAAGGAGGAGACGGTGACCCCGAAAATACAAACATAAAAACAAGGAAGAGGAAGGGCGCGAGCGACAAACCTAACCCCAAAGATTTTACAAAACCACTTTGAAAAATACAAGATCCTGCAAGCTTCACGAAATGGGCTGGAGCGGCCGCTGAGAACAAGTACCAAAGGCGCTAACGATGAGTTCGATTCCTTCCTACACATCACTCTTTCTGTCGTCGGCAATTCTTACTGATTCGGAAGGGACCGCGCTGCCGAATAATTGCTGGAATTTAAACGAACAACAGTCGGCCCGAAGCTGCTCGGTGCCACCGCGCAAGCTTCCCGGTTCTGACTTTGTATTTGAAAGCAAAAACTTCCCACTCTGTTCACAACCTGCGCCCGCACCCCCTCTTACAGCGCAGAAAGCCGCAGCTCTTAACATTTAAACGCGGAGGTCCGCTAATTACTTTCCCCTTGAGCTGCCCAGCGCCGGGTGTGGGGGACTCGGCTGGGGGGACCCTGTCCCCAACCTGGAGCACAAGCTCAGCGCTCCTGGGGGGTCCGGCGACCCTCGCCAGCTTTAATACACACGAGACCCTGCACATCCTAGGACCTGTCTGGTCTCGGCAGTTGCCTTCCAAGTACCGCTGATAAATACAAACGTAAAAACGGACGGTATTTAGGTTTCCAAGCTAAACGAAACCCTAGAGGCAGAATGTCCCCCAGTAATTAAAAAGGCATACGTTCTTTCTTTCTTTTTCTTTTTCTTTCTCCTCTCAACACATCATCAGAAAATGTCGCGACCCCAACGGCCAGTTTCAGAACTCAGGCAGAGCTACTAGGGGCTCAGGTGTGAACGGCAGCAGTACCCCTATATTTCAGAAAAGGGGGACTACATGGTATGTTCCATCCAACCCCCCAACAAAAAAAGCCACCCAAGGAGTCACTTTCAGATTCGAAAGGTTAGTGTCCTCCACCCCTCCCGTCAGCCCCAGGAGGAGAGGCTGAAAGGGCAATCAGGGGTCCCCCCATTGGAAATCTGATGGGAGGCCCCCAGACCCCAGGAACTTTCCAACTGGTGCCTGCCGGCACTGGGGTGTCCCTCCGGTTTCCATAAAGCACCTCGGTATGGACTGAGTCCTCTATACATTAAAATGAGGCTGTCACAGATTGTCATTAAGACCTCAGTAAAACAATGAAGACATTATTGGGCACCCCTCCCCTTCGGGCAAGGTATTAGGGGAATAAAACAATCTATGCCACACGGGTCCTATTGAGATTAATGAAAAAATTATGCAGAAAAAAATCTCAATTTCATTTTCCCGTGACAGGGCTTCGCAGGAGTACAGTCGGAGCCGAGCACCTGATGATTTATTAAACTAATCTTCAGCGATCACCGCTGATGTTCGCAACTCAATCTTGTCCTGGCTCATTTTCTAAGTAATTGTTTCTCATTAGTTCTGATAATGTTTTAATAGTGTTACCCATAATTTAGCCCCTAAGAATTAATAACAGGGGGGTGAGATGGCCAAGCAGCTTGTGATGAGCCCCACAAAATATAAACAGGTATGGTTTTTAATTAATCAGACTGCTGCCAGGGCCTCCTCTTCTAGCAGGGAGGGGCCCGCCAAGCAGGCCGTTCCCACCAGGCCCAGTGAGATCTGCGTGCTCAGCTGTGCCCTGGTCCCCTCTGGGGACACTGGCCTCCCCCGCGGTGGCTGCAGTGGGAAATCCGGGCTCCCAGCCGCTCCTTGTCCTGGAGTCTTGTCCCTGAGATGAGGCGCGGGGTCCGAGGCACTGACTCTTCCAGGGCCCCGTTGGGTCTCTGCTCCGAGAGCGGGCGCGTGGTCCTCCTTGGTTCCAGGAGCCCGGTCTCCCGAGTCCACGGTAATCTGGCCACGGGGGTGGAATGCGGGGGCAAACGGGCACTGGGAGACTTAGCCAGGTGGTCTGACCTGAGCAAAGTACAGTCAGACGAACGGAGGGGGACCAGTGCAGACTGGCTGGGGACTGGGCACCCAACCTCGGACCTGTGGGCGAATGGGGGCCTCGACCAGGGTCAGGCTCTCGGGCCACCCAGAGACCAGGAACCTTCCCCCGAGGTCCTCTGCCCTGCCACGGGCCTCTGAAGCTCTTCATGGGGGGGGGGGGCTGGGTTCTCAGGGCGCCGTGGCTCGAGGGGGCCACTTTTGGGCCTAGGGGCGCCGGTTAACTGGGGTGGAAGTGAGAACGCCTGCCCTTTCTTCTGGACCAACACAGGCGCAGGGAGCCAGAGGAGGACGGAGAAGGCTGAGGTCCTCCTTTACTCCCTTTGCCTGACCCGTCCTGCCTTGGCTGTTTCGCCCAGTACTAGAGCCCACACAGGACAGGTGAGGACGGAGGTGGCCCTCTTGTCTCCGTGCTCTGAGCAGAGTCCGGGTGGGGGTGAGGCACACCCTGAAGACCAGCTTGGGGGGTTGCGCCGCTTCTCCTCTCAGCTGCCCCTGTCTCTGGCGTCCAGTGTGGCTGGAGGTCAGTCATCTCCTGAGTTGGCTCAGACGAAGATGGGGCCAGCGCCCACCTTCCTGGGCAGCTAACTGGGTGGCACCGGCAAGCGAGATGACGGGGACGATGTTGTCGTGGGGGAGGCAGAGGGGTGCATGGAGGAGGCCCGGCGGGGCACACTGCCCCCGGCAGGCCAGGACCCCATGCTCACCTCTTCCGGCCCCATATTCGGGAATACTGGCCGCTGTGGCAGGGTGCGCTTTCCCGGAACGGCGTGGTGGGGACCGAGTGGCCCCTTCCTGCCCTGCGTGGGGTGTGTGGAAGCTGCGGGACAGCTCGGGGGTCCCTTCAGAGTTCCTGGTGTGTAGCCCTCAACTCTGCTCACCTCTCAGGCTCCCCAGGAATTGGAAGGGGAAGAAGTGGGTAGATAGACCCCTGGCTGGGGCACAGTGTAGGGGCCACGGAGGACATAAACAAAGGACATAGGAGGAGGTGAAAAATGAAAATAAAAAACAACTGTTTTCTATTTACCAATTTAAATAAACAGAACAGCCTTCCCGCGGTGTTTGTCTAAGAGTCGCGGCTTTGCTGCTGTGTAGGTCATGAAAAGGTTGGTGTAGAGTTTAAAACTTCCCATTCTGTTAATTTCTTAAAGAACAGTCATCCAAAGTCTCAACACAAAAGCTCATGATTTAATGAGGAGCAGAAACAAAATCTCTGATTGTTGGTGTTTCAAATTTCCTTGGCGTCCTCTGGCAAACACAAGTTGATCCTTCGCAGCTTCAATACCCTTTAGCCTTCAATATAAGAGCACATGCTGAATAGGGAAGAATGGCTGGTTGTTATGTTTATTTACCCTTCCTACAAGCTGGGTTAACCTCTTCAAAACAGCTTTACTAAGCCCGTTAACCACACCACCCAGATGACCTGGAGCGGTGTCTCTAATGTGATGCAAATCTCGGAGGGGACAGTCCCAGGCTCTGCCACGCTGGTCTTCTCAGATGCTACAAGTTTATCGCTGGTCTTCTCAGATGCTACAAGTTTATCGCTCACACCCGTCTCGGCCCTCCCATTGATGGGGGTCGAGAGCGGCCTCCGTGGCAAAGGGTTACACAGGGAAATCACGGGGGAGAAGGGAGGGCCTTGCATTTCTACACATTTCTGTTTTAATTGCTGGGACTGACCAAGCCTCTTACAGGACCAGTTCAGCAGTTCAGCTGGGCGAAGTGGGCTTCGTTTTGAGGGGCGTGCTTCAAAGCGACCAGTTTGGAAGATTTATTTTTAGAAGCTATCTTCACAAGCCACTAGATATTCAACTTTCTCTATGCCTTTTGCTTGTTTTTATCAGACTCTCAGTGAAATAAACCTGACCCCGATGTTTAATGAGGACTTTTTAAAAGCCTGGCTTTTCTTAACATAATTTATGGTGTTGATCACACAGATGGACGATGTAGGAGACATTTACTACTAACGTTAGAAGGGTGAAGGGAGTACATGGATTTGGGGGGCTCTGTTTTATGACCTACTCCCCCTGGCAGTCTGCCCCCCATCATCCTATCTCCCCGTGAAATCACGCATCCGTATTTATAACACATTCATGAACAGTAAAGTTGTAAGCTTGGGACCAAAAGGAAGGACTTCGTGTTTGGAGAAGTAACCGGCCAGGGAGAGAAGAAACAACAAAAACGTGATTTACAGGAGCCGTAAGGGAGAAAGGTTCCAACCTGGCATACTAACATGTTGCCCAGAGTATTAGGGTTTGTCTTTAAGAAGCCCGCCGTATATGTTCAGCCCACCTGATGAGAGCTTCATTTAACAGATCATTTTTCTTTGATGGATGTGGCAAGCGTAACAATGTTCTGGGCTTGCTTCAGTAAAGGCATGTCGATCATACTCCCTTGGAAAGTAAAGGCTCCCTGGAAAACAGAATACAAACTTCCTGAAAGAATGCTCTGAAATTATAGTGTGTCCTTTCTGTACACGCTTGTACAACAAGAACATTTCAGATTCCACCTGAATTAGACCGACTTTCCTACCCAACTTTTGAGAAAGCCGAAGTAAATTATAGGGGAGTGATTCCTTCCCCGCCCCACCCCCCAAGGGAGGGGGGGAAACTTTCTGCACTTCAAAAGAGAGGAAAAATTTCTGATACTAAGGTATTAGAAACTGTTCATTTACTGCTTGGAATCAAGCAGAAAATAACGTGGGAAGAAAATGGAAATACTTTCTTACATAGTTTCTGAAGTATTGCAGAGGACTTCTAAAAACAGTACTATGCCCTGTCAACTTATCATCTAAAAAAATAATTGGGGCCCTCCCTGTTGGCGCAATGGGTTAAAGCGCAGCACTATGAAGCTATCGCAGCCACTGCAGCAGGAGTTTGATTCCCAGCCAGGGAGCTGACCCACACAGCATGGCAGACCTCTCCTGACCCGCCTGCTGCTCCCCTCAGCAGTGGAATTCAGCGGACATGCCTGTTCTGATCCCTACTGTGTCTTACTGCCCCCCAACCCCAACTCCACACCTCTGGCTTGTATCCAGTTCTTGTATGCATAAGTAAATAAATCTTAAACAAATAAATAAATAAAAATAATTGTATGCCCAGGTTCATGGCAAAATGCTTCCTTCTTGCTGTGACTGAGGCGTGTCACAGGCTGGCAATGAGAAAATGTCTGGTAGGACTGTACCCAGCAACAAGGTGACCTCAGTTGGTCACCTGCAGAAAACTGAAGGACAAAGGGCAGGAATATGACCAAGAAATCGTAGGTCTATTGAATGGTGACACTGGAGGGCATCGCTGAGAAGTCCCCATTTACCCTCAGTACCTAGGTCCTTTTTTTTACAGCCTCCTGAAAATTCCTCCTGGCTGTGTCATATGGTCCTGTTTCAGATGAGGAACCCGAGGACAGTGCAGTCCACGTCCCATGAGGACAGTGTAGTCCACGGTCCCATGACAAGGGTAAGGCAGAACTGGAGTTGACGCGTGGGTGTCAGAGCTTCCAGCCTTCATCATGCGTGCTCAGCAAGAGAGCCGGAAAGCTTCTTTCGTGCATCAGAAAAAGAAAATTAAATGGACAGAAGGTGGCTTGCCCAGAACCCGAACCGATAGGTCTGGTTACTTACCTGAGCTCACCTGGTCCCGTTACCGAAGCCTGAGCAGGCCAGGTGCGCCGTCTGGCCGGACCCCTCTCGCTGGCCGGACAACCGGGACCTCGGGTCTGCGTCACTGACTCCACGGGGGGAGCCAGGTGGCTGCCTGCGGCACGCGTGACCTCACGTCCTGCTCCCGCACCTCGCGCTGACGGACGGGACGTCCTCGGGCCTGCGAACCAAGCTCGCGAAGCTCCTCAGGGCCCCCGAGATGACCAAAATGAGGGCCCGGCCCAGCTGAGGTGTAAGGAGTCAAAGAGGGCTGGGAAATGACTCAGGAGACAGGACTCGGGGCCACGGCGGTGTCCCCTGAACTGGACCTGTCACCCTAAGGCTGAGAAGGTCGGGCGCTGCTGGTGAAAACGCTAATCCTAGTGGCTTTTCCTTCTGGATGACTGAAAAGTTCCAAAATCACAACTAAGGCCCCCCTGCTAATATTTTTTTTCCATCCTCTGTGCAATTCATGTTTTGTGGGGGATGAGGGTTTCCCCAAAGCCCAGGAGAACCCCAGCCACACCCACACGGAGAAGGGCTGAGAGATGGCACCGGGGCAGGTGTGCAGCGGTGGACACAAAGGGCCCAAGAGCTGCCCGCACCCTCCCCCCAGGCCTCCAGAGACCACCTGCTCCCCTTCACACCTGCCTCTTCTCAGCAGGTGGGTGGGAGGAGAAGCAAGATGAAGAGCTGTGATGGTAACTGGCAGAGTCAGATGATTTCAAGAACGCGCGTGACTGGGCATTAACCAGACCTCAGCTGGGCCGGGCCCTCATTTTGGTCATCTCGGGGGCCCTGAGGAGCTTCGCGAGCTTGGTTCGCAGGCCCGAGGACGTCCCGTCCGTCAGCGCGAGGTGCGGGAGCAGGACGTGAGCTCACGCGTGCCGCAGGCAGCCACCTGGCTCCCCCCCGTGGAGTTAGTGACGCAGACCCGAGGTCTCGGTTGTCTGGCCAGTGAGAGGGGTCCGGCCAGGAGAGCGCACCTGGCCTGCTCAGGCTTCGGGAACGGGACGAGGTGAGCTCAGGTGCACGAGACCAAGTGACACACAATGATTGAGGGTCTCCACCACAGCCCCAGGCCCCCCCCGAATCTGCTTCGGGTTCCACCCACACATCAGAGATGCAAGGCGTTTGTGCAGCTTCTCAAGCTGGGGAGAGCATCTCTCTTCTAGGGAGACGGATTCTGCTTGACTTCCTTTATGCAGCTTAAGCCAGAACACAACATTTTTGTTCTGTTTCCCTCATCTTTGCAAACAGGATTTTCGTGTTCAGAATGAGACTTTTTAATATGAGTCTCCTACTTGTTTTTGATTTTTGACTTCTGGGTCTGTTGGTTCATAGTTGGAAAAATGCAATTTGTCAGAAGCTACTTGGATTAGTGGGGAGGGTTTGAATCATCCCATAATGAAGACTTAGAGTTAAGTTTTGGTTTCACAGCCCAATGGTTTCCTGAAAACTTGGCATACTGTTTCAAAAAGTACAGGGCACTTCCATCAGGCGGAAGATGCAAACTGTAATTTGGTTTAAAATGCCTTTCAGTGGTAACTTGTTCCTGGTTAACTACCTTAGCCACCAGGACCACAGCAGTAAGGAGTTATAATTGTTTGGAGCAGTTGCTAGCTCAGAGCTGCGCCTTGCTTCAACTCGACCTGCTCCCTGCATGCACACCCACATCACCACAGTGAGGCAGAGTCTACTACTCACCTCCACGAACACCTTTTTCTTCTTAATTGGGATAAAAACTGTAGCTATGTTTAAGCGCACAGCTCAGCAATCAGGGATATATATTCACACATCTGGGCGAGAGCTCTGGGATTTTCTGGCCATATCAGACCTTGTATCCATTAACAGCTACTCTCCACTGCCCCCTCCCCTGCCCCAGGCAGTTTCCATGAGTTTGTGAGCTGAGGAAACTGAGGCAGAATGCGTAAAACCTCCAACACCATCCTGGCATTGCACTAATGCAGTTTCCTCAGGCTCCAGGTTCTTCGTGGGGGAGAATCTGATTTGTAGCGGTGGAGGTGGGTGGATGACAACGTAATCGCATCTCTGGAAGTAACAGCAAATTCTCTTTCGGGCTCTTGGTACTTGAGAATGTTCTCTAGAGTTCTCATTTCCTAGACACCACAGATTGAGCTAATTCTCCCCCACTCACTGGCTTTTAAAATAACTTCGTTGGGATCCAGGGAGCCCCCTCTGGCACATCGCAATGAAGGCAGCACTGGGATCCCCTCAGGAGGGGTCTTCTGTCAGCATGAGTGAGAGTGTGAGCGCCGCTGAGTCCTTTCTCAGGGTGCCGGCCTTTCCCTCTGCGATGCTGTCTTCTGGCCCACGCACGAGCTGCTTGCCTCACAATGTTCCCAGCCAAGTCCCCGTTTTCTGGGTCAGGCCCAGCCATTATGAAACTCCTCGTCAAGAGCTGGTGGTGCACTCTGCCGTGACGGCTTGCCCAGACACCTCCTCCTTGATGCCCCTCAGTGGGGGAAGATGTACCCCCATGAAACTTGGGGGTGCAGGTGCTGCTTCTCCCTTCTTCTTTCCCATTTCCCACCTGGGAGGCCCTTGGCCTGCCCCGGGAGCGACCACAGATAAAGGGATGTTGGCTTGCGTCATACAGTGACAGTGTCATCCGATGACAAAGGCTAGATGGGGCAAGTGTGATGTTTGGGTGCTTAGCAACTGAGGGGTCACGCCAAGAGGCGTCATCAAAGCCAGGGTGGCGGCCCAGAGTCAGGCATCAAGAGGCAGGTTTAGGAGGTCAGGGGTGTTAGCAGACTTCGAGAGAGGGAACAAGGATGGGGGCGGCACCTCAGACTCTGTCTGCAGAGGTCAAGCAAGATGAAGGTCCACACACAGTGTGTGAGGGCAGAGTTGCCAGGGCTCTGTCTGTGGGCCAAGGGGGTTCTCTGGGGGCTGAGGACAGAGCCTAATGGGGCCGAAAGCAACGGGAAAACGCGACGCAGGAAAACACGGTTCTACTCATCAGCTGCTAACTTTGCTAAGGACAAAACACGAACATTGACTTGATGAAGCTATACTGGACCCACTGGGGTCACAGGCCCTGGGGACCAAGATTTCTGCCTTCCTGGACACCCCCCCAGAGGAGGAAGCCGAGTTCCCGCTTCCCCGCCTGTCTTCCCAGCATTCCTGCTCTGGCCACAGCATCCATGAAATGGGAACCAACAGGCCTCGTCTGGCTTTTGAGTGGAGCTGGGGAAGGATGCTGGCCGATCCTGGAGGGAAAACGCCTCACCAAGTGCAGCCTGTGCTCTCCACATCGTGGTCCATCTTCATCTCCAAGCTAAAAACTGTATGGGAGGAATCTTACTAGGAAGACCCCTTGCCACAGAGGAGGTTTCATCTGACAGAATTTTTATGAAAGATTTTCTTAGATTGTCTCACTTGTAGACGGAAGGGCATCATTATTTGTTTTACCGATGCAAAAGCTGTGGTTCACTATTAGTTCATCTTGTTAAAGGAACTTACGAAAAGGGTAGTTCTAGAGCCTAAGGCTTTTCACCCCAAATCTCAAGCTCTTCCCAACTACTGGTATACCCCAAAGGAACACTATAACTGAAGTACCTGAGATGATAGCACAAATGTACATATAAAATTATAAAATATATATTTACTTTATATAATCTATATACTTTATTTTGATGGGGATATGAGTTATAAGGTAACTCACAGATTTATTGTTTTAGGACTATTATTACTTAGGATGAAACTGTAAGAAAATAACGGTATTTAGGTAAGGTAACACTAACGATTG